TTAGGAAACTAAGAATTTTATCACATGTATAAATATTAAGTATAATGATTTAATCATTTTTGACATTTTATTTTTCATATGTAGGTATTGGATTTTCTGAAATATATGTCTGTCTTTTTTTAAATAAATTTAATAAACAATGAACTGCAGATTTTGTTTATTTTAATTTGAAATTATATTTAAAAAAATATAATAAATCCGCGTTTCAATTAGGATTGGTCAAAGTGGGCGAAATCCCTTTATTATGGCTAAATTGTTAGTTACAATTATGTCAATATTAAGATGTTATTATTAATATAAATAGTGTGAGGTGAATTGCGGTTCTGTAAACAAAGTGGGGATGTGGTCTCAATGGAAATATAATCCTGGACGTTTTTTGCATGTCCAGTATTCGACGTCCAAATTCCAGAATTGGACGTCCTCTGAATGGTCAAAAGTGTGCCATTTTTATACTTCACTGGACGTCCATTGGATGTCAGAAGTCCAGAAAAACTAATTTTTGGACGTCTAGACATGCAAAATTATATATCGAATGGACGGCCAATGGACATATTTATATTGTCTGAGTGATAGCCAGGCCAGGTATTTAATTCTAAACACATAAACCTTAAATGACATCTGGCTTATCTTTGCGAGAAAACACCTGTTTCTACAGAAATGTGTATAAACTTGAAAGTCCTTTTAATATAATGTAAATTCAGAAATTCTAAAAATATGTAAGTACTTCTTAAACCTAAAAGCTTTGAAAATATATGCACATTGCAAATATTTAGCTAACCTCTCAAACTGAATGTCTTTTTAATTGTTACCTAAATTTTTTTTGGTACCCTTAATTTTGTTTACTTTATTTTTACTTAAAGAAAAGCTAATTTAATTTAAATATGGGGCTTTTGTTACATTTTTAACAATAAATAAACCAAATATTGCACAAATTTTATAGATAAATTATAAAATAATAAACGTCTTTTACTTTTAAAGCAAATAATTAATTATTACATAATGAATTATATTTTGGTGCCGAAATTTCACCAACGTTATTAACCCTAACTACTTCAATGTAATTAAATCACATTACAATATTTGCGCATGGACTAAAACAATGATTTTAGATAATTTGCCAAACTATTTCGCTCAATGTAGAAAATAAGCATGTTTTCTCAGCGTATTAAGTTGTGTATTAATCAAAGTCATGTTGTCAAAAAGGTCCATATCCGATATCAAAAGCACCGACAGCTACTGTCGCTTCTCCTTGATCGATATTCTCGACCAGAACCATATCTACAGACAAAATAGTTTCAAAATTACAAAATTTATCGTTTTTTTTTTTCGAACAATATTTTGTTGTTCTGTTGGAGTTTGACAATTTGAATTGGAAGAAATAAAGGATGCCTAATAAAGTAGATACGAAGATGCGAATTGAGGAGGATATCAAATTAGTTCAGCAATCAACTTCTAGGTAATCGGTAATAGAACCACATTAAAACTGGCATCTATCTGAAAGGGGCCTTGAGTGTGTTAACATTTTACCCTAATAGTCCCCCATGTGAGTACCAAAAGTCGTGTTTTTTACTTGCGATTTGTAGTTAGGCACGGGGGAAAACAACATGTACCATGTCCCGGTTGTAAAACTGTCATGTAAACTGTCAAATTTAAAGAATAGTTGCTTATCGATGGTTTTTTTAGGCAATGAAATAATATATTTCTAGACGTCCATAATAATAAAAAAAATCTCCTTGCAATCATTTTCTGTCGTCCGATTGTATTACTTCCTTTGTAGGAATTTTGGCAACAAGACCGGATTTTTGCATTTTTTCTGAATCTAAGATAATATTACGAGCATTTTTTTTATCGACGAAAGAACTGATGTACAAAAAAATGCAACCTGGCAAAAAGTGACCTGTTTTTTGAAATACCTGTAAAATCAGAACCAAAAGTTGAACAGTTATTTAATTGCTCTCAAACCACTCAAATCGCTAATGTTTTTTGTACAATTTAAGTGATTAAAGCTTTGTAATAAGGGTCGTGGATGGGGTACTACGATATAATAACGCAATTACCCTGAAATTAGGAAATGGACGCCACTGTATTTAAATTCACATATCCTTACGTATAAAATAATTGATGAAAATATGGAAACAAAAATTACTATTAAATTTAAATAAAAAATAAAGGATATGCCTTCAGTAGATACGGGAAAACCAAATTCTAATATACAACAGTTTCAAATAATAAAATTACTTTTAAAGTTGTCATTTTAAAACACTATTCTGTATAATATAAATTGACTCAATGAGGTAGACCTTCATAAACAGGTCTCACCTACGATGAAAGGTCTCCAAACAGCCTTTGGTCTTAGGTCTTCAAGACGTTAACTACTATCAAATGAGCAAATCCTTTTTCATATAACTGGATAATCATTCTGAATTCTTTCAATCAAAAAACCATCATCCAAATATTTCTTTCTCTAATAAAAAAACTGAATCTCTTAATACCATTTATATTTTGCATAGCTAAAATATTTCGACTTTTTAATGGATAATAGGATAGGTAGAACGGATGAGCCGAACGTTTTGAATAATTAAAATAAAATATATATTTTTTATAGAAACCAATATATTTAAAACATTCGACTCACGACTCAAATATTGAAAATATAAAACCCGTTAATCTTTGATAATCATTGTATGAAACCAAAAAATATATCTAGTACTTACCGTAATTAATCAAATGGCTTTTTCAAATGAAAAATAATCTTTTTATTAGAGGATCGTCTCAATAAACCGGAATTAGTCTTCACGACACAAAATTTAGGAAGATAGACCGTCAGAAATTAAATTTAATTGTCTGTCAATCAATTAATTGTAATCGTAAGGAAAAAGATGGGGCAATAGAGATGTTTGAAAAATTACGGTATGAAAGACATACCGTTACACATGTTTGCAAGATTCAAAAAAGAGTATTGCCCTTAAAAGCATTTTTTATTCAATAGTTCTACCCCATTCAGCCTTTCATTCGGCCCGGGTTTGTGGTCTGTGGGTACAGAGTAGGGAGTGAACAACATGTTCGTTGTCGCGGTGGTAGGAACTGTCGTGTAATCTGTCAAATGGCAATGAAATAATATGCTTCTAGATGTCTAATAATAAAATCCCTTTGCATGCATTTTCTGTCGTCCGGTTTTGCTACTTCCGATGTAGAAATTTGTGTTTTGCAACGGAATTTTTTTAATTTAAGATGACATTCAAGCATTTTTTTGTGTCGGCGAAAGTATTGATATAAACTGCGTCACGTCACGCTGCAAAGAAATATGCGCATGTTATATTCTTTATTAGAGGGAAAGCCCACCCACGCGACAGGTTGCGCGCGACCTGCGGCATGCGATTTTTTAGGGGCGATTTTTAACAGACGACAAGCAGCGACACAGACGTTCAATATCAAAATAGAGGTGGAAGAAGTAGCAACGGTGTTGTTTTATTTTGTTCGTCGGCGGAAAAAATTGAAACGATGTAGGTACTGGGTTGATCCATTATTTATAGACCCTTATGCAAAAGGCGCATTTAATTTATTATATAAGAATATAAGAATATTGCAGAATGCTAGCACAGATTCCCGAACAAATATTTTTGTCGCTATTTTATTTCAATTAACTGTTCAATATTTGAGGTCGATCTTAAATATCGGATATAAATTCATCTATATCAATACAACTGTCGGACATTTTTTCACTGGTACTGTCGAAAAGTTAACAGAAAACTCCAACTCTCAACTGGCGTTTCGCACGCGACTTGACGTTTGTATGAGTGATGCTCCATATGTATCCATGATAACGCTGGCCGCGTGCGGCAGGAAAATCGCGGGTTTGTCATTTCTAATTTTCAGCCGCGTGCGACCACGCGACAAAACCGCGTTAATGGGCTTTGAGTCATTTAAAAACATCTAAAGTATTGCCGCGCGCGATGCCTCGCGATCAGTCGCGCAGACGTGTCGCATGAGTGGGCTTTCCCTTTTAGGTTCACAAAAACTCGCCGTGACTCTCGCTGCGTCACCTCACCAAGCTGCGTCTCATTTTGCGGCGGAACTTAACATTTTGTGGTTTGTATTTAGTGCGAAGAAGAGTGACACATCGCTTTCGATTGTTTATAGTGATATCAAGGGCCAGTTTAAAGTGTGTTGATAAACGAAAATTAGTAAAACAAACAAATAAAGAGTCCAGCCCATCGAGAGCATTATCTAGAAGCCCACTTCATATTATAATACCATATCTTAGCAGCGACTCAGCCAATGCATTATAAATAAGTAGTAATGGATCTTTGAAACAGTATCTCGAATTTGATAAAATAAATGTTTCCAAACAAGTAACATATTTGCTCCATCTCAGATGTTGGTCAACCTTTAATCCTAAATATTTTTATGCGTGTTCTTTCTAATAACACTCTGTGATCAACAGTATCAAATGCCTGGGCTGAGTCTAAGAATATCACTATGCATTATTTATTTTTGTCAATACCATTAATAATAATTTTTACAAAGTCTAGAAGCGCATCTACATCAAAATTAGAAAAATAATATTGAATTTAAAAAGGTAAATATCTATTAGTGACTATCTCCCTAAACCAAATATTAGCGACTATTTCTCTATAGAAATAGTCGCTATTTGGTTTACTGAAATAGTCATCCCAAATATAACACGACCTTGATTAATATTCTGCTATATTTGTTATTGCTAAATTTTTCAAATATTTTACAATTTGATTATATGCATAATTTTGGCTAAAGCTCTCGGGTTCTAATCAGATTATTAATGCCTAAAATTATGTCCTATCAAATTGATATTAAAATATTCTCGAAATTTAGATTCAACAAAAATAGCTGACTATTATCAAGGTCTTGTTATATTACCCTTGAATATTTATTAGTGAAAAGGCAAAAAAATGTTCTAGAATTAAAAAATACTTAATTATAAATTATTTAATAAATAAAAAAACATTAAAACAAAGTAATATGCAAATTTCATACACTGTCCTATTAATTATTCAATTATTTACTATTGTTCAATTTGTATTTCGTCTTCAACACTTTTATTCAGTCTTCGATTATCATTTTTCGTAATACACTGTTTCCTCATCGCTTCCTCAGCATCCCAGAATGTTTGCATATCCCTTAATCTTCTTACAGAGTCACGTTGCAGTTCTTCTATAGACACTAAATGTCCGTTAAAGTTACTTGGAATGTATTCTATTGGAATAAAATCGTGCAAATCATCAAATCCAGAATGAAAAGTAATCTAGAAAATACAGGGTATTGACATTTTTTATTATAAACGTTTTTCCTAAATAACCATAGGAGGAAAATTAGCTTTAATGTGATTACAACAAGAATATCTCAAAGAGTATTTTTTTTAAACATCGAAGTTTTAAGTAAATAAGGGAATATTATCCACAGATGCTCGTAATTTTAAATTTCAGTTATTCGGTTTCCGAGAGAAAAAATCAAAGACCTTTAAATTTTTAAATATCATAACTAAAAGCACTATTTTATATAAAATAAATTAATTTGGGCTAATAATGTCAGTTACAACGCGGTCGGGCCGTATGAACTGGCAAAGCTGACTTTATTCGTTTCCTGCTCGTTCTAATGATAACTTTTTGTAGTTTTCACATGCACTTGTGTAAAGCGTATTGGAAAACGTTCAGTGGCCGACACTGTATATAAACAGATAATACTAGCTATTTTAAATAGAATTTGGGGGAATTTTAATAGAAAAATCAGAAATTTTGTTTGAGCTACTTATGGCCACGGTCCCGTCTCTGAGATGAAATGGATTGGGGCCACATTGTTTTCTCAATTTTCATCCAACGCACTTTGAAAATCTTACCTTGTTAAACAGTTCTGCTTTTATAAAGCATTTAGCAATAGAGATGAATTGTTTTAACGCATAATTCGCATTAATATAGTGCACGGCTTTTAGTTGTAGAGGCAGTGCTTCCTGAATGTAGTTGAAGAATATCTTTAAGAGGTGTAACTTCACTCTTGTTAAATGCATCATGCCAATCTATAGAAAAATATAGAAAAATATAGAAAAATAAAGAAAAATATAGAAAAATATAGAAAAATATAGAAAAATATAGAAAAATATAGAAAAATATAGAAAAATATAGAAAAATATAGAAAAATATAGAAAAATATAGAAAAATATAGAAAAATATAGAAAAATATAGAAAAATATAGAAAAATTATAGAAAAATATAGAAAAATATAGAAAAATATAGAAAAATATAGAAAAATATAGAAAAATATAGAAAAATATAGAAAAATATAGAAAAATATAGAAAAATATAGAAAAATATAGAAAAATATAGAAAATATAGAAAAATATAGAAAAATATAGAAAAATATAGAAAAATATAGAAAAATATAGAAAAATATAGAAAAATATAGAAAAATATAGAAAAATATAGAAAAATATAGAAAAATATAGAAAAATATAGAAAAATATAGAAAAATATAGAAAAATATAGAAAAATATAGAAAAATATAGAAAAATATAGAAAAATATAGAAAAATATAGAAAAATATAGAAAAATATAGAAAAATATAGAAAAATATAGAAAAATATAGAAAAATATAGAAAAATATAGAAAAATATAGAAAAATATAGAAAAATATAGAAAAATATAGAAAAATATAGAAAAATATAGAAAAATATAGAAAAATATAGAAAAATATAGAAAAATATAGAAAAATATAGAAAAATATAGAAAAATATAGAAAAATATAGAAAAATATAGAAAAATATAGAAAAATATAGAAAAATATAGAAAAATATAGAAAAATATAGAAAAATATAGAAAAATATAGAAAAATATAGAAAAATATAGAAAAATATAGAAAAATATAGAAAAATATAGAAAAATATAGAAAAATATAGAAAAATATAGAAAAATATAGAAAAATATAGAAAAATATAGAAAAATATAGAAAAATATAGAAAAATATAGAAAAATATAGAAAAATATAGAAAAATATAGAAAAATATAGAAAAATATAGAAAAATATAGAAAAATATAGAAAAATATAGAAAAATATAGAAAAATATAGAAAAATATAGAAAAATATAGAAAAATATAGAAAAATATAGAAAAATATAGAAAAATATAGAAAAATATAGAAAAATATAGAAAAATATAGAAAAATATAGAAAAATATAGAAAAATATAGAAAAATATAGAAAAATATAGAAAAATATAGAAAAATATAGAAAAATATAGAAAAATATAGAAAAATATAGAAAAATATAGAAAAATATAGAAAAATATAGAAAAATATAGAAAAATATAGAAAAATATAGAAAAATATAGAAAAATATAGAAAAATATAGAAAAATATAGAAAAATATAGAAAAATATAGAAAAATATAGAAAAATATAGAAAAATATAGAAAAATATAGAAAAATATAGAAAAATATAGAAAAATATAGAAAAATATAGAAAAATATAGAAAAATATAGAAAAATATAGAAAAATATAGAAAAATATAGAAAAATATAGAAAAATATAGAAAAATATAGAAAAATATAGAAAAATATAGAAAAATATAGAAAAATATAGAAAAATATAGAAAAATATAGAAAAATATAGAAAAATATAGAAAAATATAGAAAAAATATAGAAAAATATAGAAAAATATAGAAAAATATAGAAAAATATAGAAAAATATAGAAAAATATAGAAAAATATAGAAAAATATAGAAAAATATAGAAAAATATAGAAAAATATAGAAAAATATAGAAAAATATAGAAAAATATAGAAAAATATAGAAAAATATAGAAAAATATAGAAAAATATAGAAAAATATAGAAAAATATAGAAAAATATAGAAAAATATAGAAAAATATAGAAAAATATAGAAAAATATAGAAAAATATAGAAAAATATAGAAAAATATAGAAAATATAGAAAAATATAGAAAAATATAGAAAAATATAGAAAAATATAGAAAAATATAGAAAAATATAGAAAAATATAGAAAAATATAGAAAAATATAGAAAAATATAGAAAAATATAGAAAAATATAGAAAAATATAGAAAAATATAGAAAAATATAGAAAAATATAGAAAATATAGAAAAATATAGAAAAATATAGAAAAATATAGAAAAATATAGAAAAATATAGAAAAATATAGAAAAATATAGAAAAATATAGAAAAATATAGAAAAATATAGAAAAATATAGAAAAATATAGAAAAATATAGAAAAATATAGAAAAATATAGAAAAATATAGAAAAATATAGAAAAATATAGAAAAATATAGAAAAAATATAGAAAAATATAGAAAAATATAGAAAAATATAGAAAAATATAGAAAAATATAGAAAAATATAGAAAAATATAGAAAAATATAGAAAAATATAGAAAAATATAGAAAAATATAGAAAAATATAGAAAAATATAGAAAAATATAGAAAAATATAGAAAAATATAGAAAAATATAGAAAAATATAGAAAAATATAGAAAAATATAGAAAAATATAGAAAAATATAGAAAAATATAGAAAAATATAGAAAAATATAGAAAAATATAGAAAAATATAGAAAAATATAGAAAAATATAGAAAAATATAGAAAAATATAGAAAAATATAGAAAAATATAGAAAAATATAGAAAAAATATAGAAAAATATAGAAAAATATAGAAAAATATAGAAAAATATAGAAAAATATAGAAAAATATAGAAAAATATAGAAAAATATAGAAAAATATAGAAAAATATAGAAAAATATAGAAAAATATAGAAAAATATAGAAAAATATAGAAAAATATAGAAAAATATAGAAAAATATAGAAAAATATAGAAAAATATAGAAAAATATAGAAAAATATAGAAAAATATAGAAAAATATAGAAAAATATAGAAAAATATAGAAAAATATAGAAAAATATAGAAAAATATAGAAAAATATAGAAAAATATAGAAAAATATAGAAAAATATAGAAAAATATAGAAAAATATAGAAAAATATAGAAAAATATAGAAAAATATAGAAAAATATAGAAAATATAGAAAAATATAGAAAAATATAGAAAAATATAGAAAAATATAGAAAAATATAGAAAAATATAGAAAAATATAGAAAAATATAGAAAAATATAGAAAAATATAGAAAAATATAGAAAAATATAGAAAAATATAGAAAAATATAGAAAAATATAGAAAAATATAGAAAAATATAGAAAAATATAGAAAAATATAGAAAAATATAGAAAAATATAGAAAAATATAGAAAAATATAGAAAAATATAGAAAAATATAGAAAAATATAGAAAAATATAGAAAAATATAGAAAAATATAGAAAAATATAGAAAAATATAGAAAAATATAGAAAAATATAGAAAAATATAGAAAAATATAGAAAAATATAGAAAAATATAGAAAAATATAGAAAATATAGAAAAATATAGAAAAATATAGAAAAATATAGAAAGATATAGAAAGATATAGAAAGATATAGAAAGATATAGAAAGATATAGAAAGATATAGAAAGATATAGAAAGATATAGAAAGATATAGAAAGATATAGAAAGATATAGAAAGATATAGAAAGATATAGAAAGATATAGAAAGATATAGAAAGATATAGAAAGATATAGAAAGATATAGAAAGATATAGAAAGATATAGAAAGATATAGAAAGATATAGAAAGATATAGAAAGATATAGAAAGATATAGAAAGATATAGAAAGATATAGAAAGATATAGAAAGATATAGAAAGATATAGAAAGATATAGAAAGATATAGAAAGATATAGAAAGATATAGAAAGATATAGAAAGATATAGAAAGATATAGAAAGATATAGAAAGATATAGAAAGATATAGAAAGATATAGAAAGATATAGAAAGATATAGAAAGATATAGAAAGATATAGAAAGATATAGAAAGATATAGAAAGATATAGAAAGATATAGAAAGATATAGAAAGATATAGAAAGATATAGAAAGATATAGAAAGATATAGAAAGATATAGAAAGATATAGAAAGATATAGAAAGATATAGAAAGATATAGAAAGATATAGAAAGATATAGAAAGATATAGAAAGATATAGAAAGATATAGAAAGATATAGAAAGATATAGAAAGATATAGAAAGATATAGAAAGATATAGAAAGATATAGAAAGATATAGAAAGATATAGAAAGATATAGAAAGATATAGAAAGATATAGAAAGATATAGAAAGATATAGAAAGATATAGAAAGATATAGAAAGATATAGAAAGATATAGAAAGATATAGAAAGATATAGAAAGATATAGAAAGATATAGAAAGATATAGAAAGATATAGAAAGATATAGAAAGATATAGAAAGATATAGAAAGATATAGAAAGATATAGAAAGATATAGAAAGATATAGAAAGATATAGAAAGATATAGAAAGATATAGAAAGATATAGAAAGATATAGAAAGATATAGAAAGATATAGAAAGATATAGAAAGATATAGAAAGATATAGAAAGATATAGAAAGATATAGAAAGATATAGAAAGATATAGAAAGATATAGAAAGATATAGAAAGATATAGAAAGATATAGAAAGATATAGAAAGATATAGAAAGATATAGAAAGATATAGAAAGATATAGAAAGATATAGAAAGATATAGAAAGATATAGAAAGATATAGAAAGATATAGAAAGATATAGAAAGATATAGAAAGATATAGAAAGATATAGAAAGATATAGAAAGATATAGAAAGATATAGAAAGATATAGAAAGATATAGAAAGATATAGAAAGATATAGAAAGATATAGAAAGATATAGAAAGATATAGAAAGATATAGAAAGATATAGAAAGATATAGAAAGATATAGAAAGATATAGAAAGATATAGAAAGATATAGAAAGATATAGAAAGATATAGAAAGATATAGAAAGATATAGAAAGATATAGAAAGATATAGAAAGATATAGAAAGATATAGAAAGATATAGAAAGATATAGAAAGATATAGAAAGATATAGAAAGATATAGAAAGATATAGAAAGATATAGAAAGATATAGAAAGATATAGAAAGATATAGAAAGATATAGAAAGATATAGAAAGATATAGAAAGATATAGAAAGATATAGAAAGATATAGAAAGATATAGAAAGATATAGAAAGATATAGAAAGATATAGAAAGATATAGAAAGATATAGAAAGATATAGAAAGATATAGAAAGATATAGAAAGATATAGAAAGATATAGAAAGATATAGAAAGATATAGAAAGATATAGAAAGATATAGAAAGATATAGAAAGATATAGAAAGATATAGAAAGATATAGAAAGATATAGAAAGATATAGAAAGATATAGAAAGATATAGAAAGATATAGAAAGATATAGAAAGATATAGAAAGATATAGAAAGATATAGAAAGATATAGAAAGATATAGAAAGATATAGAAAGATATAGAAAGATATAGAAAGATATAGAAAGATATAGAAAGATATAGAAAGATATAGAAAGATATAGAAAGATATAGAAAGATATAGAAAGATATAGAAAGATATAGAAAGATATAGAAAGATATAGAAAGATATAGAAAGATATAGAAAGATATAGAAAGATATAGAAAGATATAGAAAGATATAGAAAGATATAGAAAGATATAGAAAGATATAGAAAGATATAGAAAGATATAGAAAGATATAGAAAGATATAGAAAGATATAGAAAGATATAGAAAGATATAGAAAGATATAGAAAGATATAGAAAGATATAGAAAGATATAGAAAGATATAGAAAGATATAGAAAGATATAGAAAGATATAGAAAGATATAGAAAGATATAGAAAGATATAGAAAGATATAGAAAGATATAGAAAGATATAGAAAGATATAGAAAGATATAGAAAGATATAGAAAGATATAGAAAGATATAGAAAGATATAGAAAGATATAGAAAGATATAGAAAGATATAGAAAGATATAGAAAGATATAGAAAGATATAGAAAGATATAGAAAGATATAGAAAGATATAGAAAGATAGAAAGATATAGAAAGATATAGAAAGATATAGAAAGATATAGAAAGATATAGAAAGATATAGAAAGATATAGAAAGATATAGAAAGATATAGAAAGATATAGAAAGATATAGAAAGATATAGAAAGATATAGAAAGATATAGAAAGATATAGAAAGATATAGAAAGATATAGAAAGATATAGAAAGATATAGAAAGATATAGAAAGATATAGAAAGATATAGAAAGATATAGAAAGATATAGAAAGATATAGAAAGATATAGAAAGATATAGAAAGATATAGAAAGATATAGAAAGATATAGAAAGATATAGAAAGATATAGAAAGATATAAAAAGATACAAAAAAAATATAGATTTTATATACGAGTAGTAGGGAGCCACTAAAACTTTTTTGGTACACATTTTCACAAAGAATCAATTACAAATGTATCGTTTATTCTTAACCTGTGAAAGAAGAAATAATTTGCTGAAATCGAACTGTCAGCAAGCAAGAAGGTACTGAGATTCTAATTTCAAGAAGGTGGTAGAAAACTTTTTCTACTAATTATTGATGTAACTAATATCTAAAAATTTTAAGTTTGCGCTTCTATGACAGCATTTTCTAAATACAGACTTTTTAAAACGTCATAGTCGAGGGCTCTATCGCTGCACAGCAAACTACTTTCTTGTTCTACAAGGTAAGAATGAACTAAATATTTGTAATTTTACCATTGGAATTAACAAACCTAAAAGTGTCACTAGCTTCCCTACCAATACTATCAAATGCAAAAACAAAATGATATTTGCGGATGTATAATTGGAAGTCAGGGTAGGAAACATGACAACAATAAATTTTGATGATTTTAAGCGGAAGTAAAATTTGCGCATGAGTAATAGAGATCATCAATAACGGAAAAAGTCTATTATGTTGAATTAAAATTTAATCAACTTACCCCTTTTACATCTTGGATTATAATAAAATCTTTCGGAGCATATTCTGCAATTATTGAGTCTATTGTCATAATTCCAACCTTCAATTGTTGATCCATGTAACAATTTCTATAATTTGTATCCAGCATTTTACAATAAATTATAACAGTATTGTTTTCAATCCAATGAATAGGAGCGAATGCCCTAAAAAATAAATAAAAATATAGCCTCGAAAATAATTTACTGTTGGATATTTCTTCTAAAGCAGTTTTTAAAGATTTTCAAGGAGTTTCAAGGAATTTTATGAATTTTTAAGGATTTTTAAGGATTTTTTAGAATTTTTAAGGATTTTCAAAGATTTTTAAGGATTTTCAAGCATTTTCAACGATTTTCAAGGATTTTCATGTACTTTCAAGGATTTTCAATAACTTTTAAGGATTTTTAAGGATAGAGAAGAATATCTAAGGATCTTCAAATATCTTCAAGGATATTATACTTATTCAATGACGTTTGGGGATCTTCAAGGATCTATAAAGGACTAGGTGTAACAAAAATAGGTTTTCCGAAAAAAAGTATAGTTTTTTAGTTGTAGTGAAATTTAAAATTCAGAATACTCACGATGTGTTTACTGTCAATTGGAATTCTTCACTATCAGTATTTCGATCGTTAAACAGAACAGGAGCTAATTGTTTTATTTTGTAATAATTTTCTATCGTTTTTTTGGTGTGATTTATATCATTCGAGCAACTAAGTAAAAATATTGTTACCAGTTCGTTCGAGAGAATCGGAATGCATTTTTCATTTAAGGGTACCTAACTACAAATAACAATAAAAAAACACGACATACCACTTTTTGCAGTCAGTTGAGAGACTATAACCAAAGTGTATGTTACACTTTAAAAATTCTCTTTCAGTTCTTCGGAACAAATTAATATATTATAACTTTTCCAGTATTTCTTAATATTATATTTTATTTTTTCAGTATTGACAAATATACAAAAATTAAATTGTTTAATTTGACTTATCCCCATTTATGTATTTCACACAAAATCTTCCACGGAGCAACCCATTTATTGATAACAGTATTTTAAATATTTTACGGTGCAAGGTGCAGAATAATAATGCTGATTGTTAATATGTTTACACGCGACAATATGCCAGACATCGAACTTGTAGATATCGAGTATTATCGAGATGCTGAAGGATGTTGGCTGCATAAAACACGAGTAGTTGACTACCGTAAACGCATTACCTACTCACAGCACATCATATCAGGCACATGACACTCCCTGGGCGGGAAAAAGACGCGCAGCTTTTACTGCGCTGACATTTTCGGGATATAACCTATCACTTATCATAAATCCGGTTAAAAACTCGCTACCATGCGCATGCAACCCATATTTCGTACACAAATATAAACTTTTGTTTACATTTTATCGAAGTAGTTTTTGTAATACATTCACAGCTTATAAACGGAAAATTTGTTATTTTGATAGTGAATTTAGATCAAAAATACCCCAAAAACACTTCAGTGTGTGTTTCATCCTTATTATTGCTCGTTTTATTTGAGGACATTGGAATAAATAGAGTACTAAAAGTAATCAAGCTAAAAAGGTGTGTTATAAAAAGAAAATACATTGCCTTCGACTTATTTATGTTTAATATGTTTTCGTGAAGTATTTCCAACATTCTAGTTACTTGAATGATTGTAAATTGTACGTGTATAAGTAATAAAAACATCTAGTGCTTTGTGCTTCCTTTTTTTTGTTGGTGTCCCAGCCCAGCATTGCTAGCCAGCAGTAGTAGCAAAAACATTAACATTGTTTACATTCAACCCATTTACATGTACATGATTTATCAGCAAAAGGCAGAATACAATATTTCTCTGCAAAATGTAAACAATGCTACAAGGAAAATTGCTCATGTATAAATTCAACAATTAAATCAAAATATATTATTTTTAAAGGACTTATATCAACTATACACCCTACAAGAATTATCGCATCACTAATAGTTTTCAAAAGTTTGGAGGTTTTTCTGAACCGTTTGATCGATTTGGATATTCTTTTTTTGGAAGATAAGTTGATTCTTCAGGAATAGTAATCTCTTTGATTCTTTAAATAAAATTTAATTTGTGAGCGTATACCAGGTGTTAAAATAATATAGGTTTTGGTTGGAAAATTCGTAACACCCCGTGGAGTGTAGCAGCAATAATAGCATGTTATAATTAATAGCTTATTTTAGCCTCATCTTTTCGCAAAATTTTATTTTTTTGATTTTTTTATTATCTCTGTTATTAGAGGAGAAATACAATTTTTTAGCACTGCCTGTTTTTATAAACATACATTGCAAACATTTTAGTGATGCGATAATTTTTGTGGGGTGTATATTATGTTAATTATAAATATTATAAGTATTTGTAACAAAATAATAGTTGTGTATTAATAAATCTGTTGCTACTCCAAAAAATATATTATTTATTGATTATCAGGTATCAAAAATATGTGTACCTATAGAAATTTGTTGAAATGTTCTATTGCTCTTAATCTTTTTAATGGGTTCTTATTATAGTTGTAAATAAAAATCAACACTTTTTATCCGTCTATTTAACACTTACAAACGTATGCATATTTTAAGTTGTAAGGATCCATAGCCTCTTAATGTTTTACATTAGAAATAAGACCTGTGATGTCACATTAAGTCGTGAATATGAGGTAAAGGATTTGGGAGTTGTCTTTCAGTCTAATTTGAAGTTCAATAACCATTTTTTTACACATAACTAAAAAAGCAATAAAAGCATTAGGTTTTTTAATCAGAAATACAAAAAAATTTAGGATTACCACCAAAATCAGATTATATAATGCCTTAGTAAGACTCCATCTTGAGTATGTTTCACAAATATGGATGCTCTTGGAAGCCACACAAATTGATCATATTGAAAAAGTACAAAAAATATTTTTACGGTACCTTTATGTCATAAAAAATACTTGTACCCTTATACCTAAGATCTCGTATAAAACTATGCTCAAAAGTTTTAAGATTAAATCTCTTTTACAAAGAAGAAAGCAACAGGATGTGATATATTTTGTACTCTATTTTAAGTACAAAGATTATGAATTGATTGACTATATAAATGTTAATACCGCAAAGATTAATCTAAGAAACTCAAGTAACAAAAAATTATTTGATTTAGATCCAAGTAGTATATCTCCTTTTAACAAGATGATGGCTGTTATCAATGAGTTTCTTAGCGAGATCCAAATAGATATCTTTAATGTTAGCCTTAGAAAGTTGAGGACTGTACTGTACCTTCTTACATTTGCGAAGACTGCCCTGATATCTAATCTATTTTCTTCTTCAAAGTAATTAAGTTGTTCAACCGTTGTCTATAAAGATATCTCACATCTCTCTCATACACACGAATTTGAAAAGCAGCAGAACAAAAATTCAACTAACCAGGTATACCAAGTCCGTGTAAAGAAAACTTTTCATATCCCGAAAACGACAAGTGTCAACTAAAATTTCTACTTTTAAAGATCAAACGTGCCGCCTCAGAGTGCCAATACTGATTGGTATATATACTGGGATCATATACTATGGGTTGCGTAATATACGTAAATTGATACTGAGAAAATGGCGGTGCAATTGACGCATACCTAATGGGCGGATTTCGAGAAAAATTTCAATCGCAATACTGCGGCTCTACTGTCTCAAATATGGTTCCTTTTAATGCTGATTTGACCTTAATTAAAAGCAAAATCAAATGAGATAAAATCCGGTAATTAAGGTGGATGTTCTAATACAAAGATCCAAGTACTTGGCTAAAATCTCTTGATAGACCTTCACTTATCGACCCTCGTTGATTACTTAAAACCATGAGTTTGTGATGAACACTCATCTCCACATTGTCATTCTTTCACAAAACCATACGTTTCTGTGGCAGATTTTCTAAATTTTAAAATGAATTTTGCATTGACGCGTTGCTTTCCTTGAACACATGAACATATTTCCTGTGAAGAAGAGATTCAAGATCTACTTCGATCGATGGCCTTGATTTAATTCTACGGAATACAATTTTTAAAATGATAGCAATAGAGATAGGAGATGTCACACGATAATCTCGTCGTTAGTCTGCAGAACGACTAATCGAGTTTGTTTAACCTCCCCTCGTATTCCTTGTAAATATAAAATATCGATACACAAAACAGCCAATTTTTACCTCAAAAATGTAACAATTCTAGATAAAATAATAACTAGATCGTTGTTATAATTATGATACAATATTTAAACGCTAAAAACATAAAGTGTAAATAAAATTAGATAGGTATATAAAGTATAAAATGAATTATTTTTATATCTACAATATGATGATTCATATTGTAAATTTTTTATAAAACTAACAAAATATTACATATTGTGGTATTATATTTTCCATGAGTATCTAGTTATTTTATGTTTTTCCGATAATTTAATATATTTTGCTTTCAGATCAATTTGATGATTTGACGCTCTGAAACCGAAGATGGTATTACCTTTTAAGTTCTCCGTTATAGACATAATAGATCAAGGAAGAACTACAAGTAAAGATATTGATCTAATTAAAGAATGGAACAAGAATTTAAATGAAAAATGCATTCCGATTCTCTCGAACGAACTGGTAACAATATTTTTACTTAGTTGCTCGAATGATATAAATCACACCAAAAAAACGATAGAAAATTATTACAAAATAAAACAATTAGCTCCTGTTCTGTTTAACGATCGAAATACTGATAGTGAAGAATTCCAATTGACAGTAAACACATCGTGAGTATTCTGAATTTTAAATTTCACTACAACTAAAAAACTATACTTTTTTTCGGAAAACCTATTTTTGTTACACCTAGTCCTTTATAGATCCTTGAAGATCCCCAAACGTCATTGAATAAGTATAATATCCTTGAAGATATTTGAAGATCCTTAGATATTCTTCTCTATCCTTAAAAATCCTTAAAAGTTATTGAAAATCCTTGAAAGTACATGAAAATCCTTGAAAATCGTTGAAAATGCTTGAAAATCCTTAAAAATCTTTGAAAATCCTTAAAAATTCTAAAAAATCCTTAAAAATCCTTAAAAATTCATAAAATTCCTTGAAACTCCTTGAAAATCTTTAAAAACTGCTTTAGAAGAAATATCCAACAGTAAATTATTTTCGAGGCTATATTTTTATTTATTTTTTAGGGCATTCGCTCCTATTCATTGGATTGAAAACAATACTGTTATAATTTATTGTAAAATGCTGGATACAAATTATAGAAATTGTTACATGGATCAACAATTGAAGGTTGGAATTATGACAATAGACTCAATAATTGCAGAATATGCTCCGAAAGATTTTATTATAATCCAAGATGTAAAAGGGGTAAGTTGATTAAATTTTAATTCAACATAATAGACCTTTCCCGTTATTGCTGATCTCTATTACTCATGCGCAAATTTTACTTCCGCTTAAAATCATCAAATTTATTGTTGTCATGTTTCCTACCCTGACTTCCAATTATACATCCGCAAATATCATTTTGTTTTTGCATTTGATAGTATTGGTAGGGAAGCTAGTGACACTTTTAGGTTTGTTAATTCCAATGGTAAAATTACAAATATTTAGTTCATTCTTACCTTGTAGAACAAGAAAGTAGTTTGCTGTGCAGCGATAGAGCCCTCGACTATGACGTTTTAAAAAGTCTGTATTTAGAAAATGCTGTCATAGAAGCGCAAACTTAAAATTTTTAGATATTAGTTACATCAATAATTAGTAGAAAAAGTTTTCTACCACCTTCTTGAAATTAGAATCTCAGTACCTTCTTGCTTGCTGACAGTTCGATTTCAGCAAATTATTTCTTCTTTCACAGGTTAAGAATAAACGATACATTTGTAATTGATTCTTTGTGAAAATGTGTACCAAAAAAGTTTTAGTGGCTCCCTACTACTCGTATATAAAATCTATATTTTTTTTGTATCTTTTTATATCTTTCTATATCTTTCTATATCTTTCTATATCTTTCTATATCTTTCTATATCTTTCTATATCTTTCTATATCTTTCTATATCTTTCTATATCTTTCTATATCTTTCTATATCTTTCTATATCTTTCTATATCTTTCTATATCTTTCTATATCTTTCTATATCTTTCTATATCTTTCTATATCTTTCTATATCTTTCTATATCTTTCTATATCTTTCTATATCTTTCTATATCTTTCTATATCTTTCTATATCTTTCTATATCTTTCTATATCTTTCTATATCTTCTATATCTTTCTATATCTTTCTATATCTTTCTATATCTTTCTATATCTTTCTATATCTTTCTATATCTTTCTATATCTTTCTATATCTTTCTATATCTTTCTATATCTTTCTATATCTTTCTATATCTTTCTATATCTTTCTATATCTTTCTATATCTTTCTATATCTTTCTATATCTTTCTATATCTTTCTATATCTTTCTATATCTTTCTATATCTTTCTATATCTTTCTATATCTTTCTATATCTTTCTATATCTTTCTATATCTTTCTATATCTTTCTATATCTTTCTATATCTTTCTATATCTTTCTATATCTTTCTATATCTTTCTATATCTTTCTATATCTTTCTATATTCTTTCTATATCTTTCTATATCTTTCTATATCTTTCTATATCTTTCTATATCTTTCTATATCTTTCTATATCTTTCTATATCTTTCTATATCTTTCTATATCTTTCTATATCTTTCTATATCTTTCTATATCTTTCTATATCTTTCTATATCTTTCTATATCTTTCTATATCTTTCTATATCTTTCTATATCTTTCTATATCTTTCTATATCTTTCTATATCTTTCTATATCTTTCTATATCTTTCTATATCTTTCTATATCTTTCTATATCTTTCTATATCTTTCTATATCTTTCTATATCTTTCTATATCTTTCTATATCTTTCTATATCTTTCTATATCTTTCTATATCTTTCTATATCTTTCTATATCTTTCTATATCTTTCTATATCTTTCTATATCTTTCTATATCTTTCTATATCTTTCTATATCTTTCTATATCTTTCTATATCTTTCTATATCTTTCTATATCTTTCTATATCTTTCTATATCTTTCTATATCTTTCTATATCTTTCTATATCTTTCTATATCTTTCTATATCTTTCTATATCTTTCTATATCTTTCTATATCTTTCTATATCTTTCTATATCTTTCTATATCTTTCTATATCTTTCTATATCTTTCTATATCTTTCTATATCTTTCTATATCTTTCTATATCTTTCTATATCTTTCTATATCTTTCTATATCTTTCTATATCTTTCTATATCTTTCTATATCTTTCTATATCTTTCTATATCTTTCTATATCTTTCTATATCTTTCTATATCTTTCTATATCTTTCTATATCTTTCTATATCTTTCTATATCTTTCTATATCTTTCTATATCTTTCTATATCTTTCTATATCTTTCTATATCTTTCTATATCTTTCTATATCTTTCTATATCTTTCTATATCTTTCTATATCTTTCTATATCTTTCTATATCTTTCTATATCTTTCTATATCTTTCTATATCTTTCTATATCTTTCTATATCTTTCTATATCTTTCTATATCTTTCTATATCTTTCTATATCTTTCTATATCTTTCTATATCTTTCTATATCTTTCTATATCTTTCTATATCTTTCTATATCTTTCTATATCTTTCTATATCTTTCTATATCTTTCTATATCTCTTTCTATATCTTTCTATATCTTTCTATATCTTTCTATATCTTTCTATATCTTTCTATATCTTTCTATATCTTTCTATATCTTTCTATATCTTTCTATATCTTTCTATATCTTTCTATATCTTTCTATATCTTTCTATATCTTTCTATATCTTTCTATATCTTTCTATATCTTTCTATATCTTTCTATATCTTTCTATATCTTTCTATATCTTTCTATATCTTTCTATATCTTTCTATATCTTTCTATATCTTTCTATATCTTTCTATATCTTTCTATATCTTTCTATATCTTTCTATATCTTTCTATATCTTTCTATATCTTTCTATATCTTTCTATATCTTTCTATATCTTTCTATATCTTTCTATATCTTTCTATATCTTTCTATATCTTTCTATATCTTTCTATATCTTTCTATATCTTTCTATATCTTTCTATATCTTTCTATATCTTTCTATATCTTTCTATCTTATATCTTTCTATATCTTTCTATATCTTTCTATATCTTTCTATATCTTTCTATATCTTTCTATATCTTTCTATATCTTTCTATATCTTTCTATATCTTTCTATATCTTTCTATATCTTTCTATATCTTTCTATATCTTTCTATATCTTTCTATATCTTTCTATATCTTTCTATATCTTTCTATATCTTTCTATATCTTTCTATATCTTTCTATATCTTTCTATATCTTTCTATATCTTTCTATATCTTTCTATATCTTTCTATATCTTTCTATATCTTTCTATATCTTTCTATATCTTTCTATATCTTTCTATATCTTTCTATATCTTTCTATATCTTTCTATATCTTTCTATTCTTTCTATATCTTTCTATATCTTTCTATATCTTTCTATATCTTTCTATATCTTTCTATATCTTTCTATATCTTTCTATATCTTTCTATATCTTTCTATATCTTTCTATATCTTTCTATATCTTTCTATATCTTTCTATATCTTTCTATATCTTTCTATATCTTTCTATATCTTTCTATATCTTTCTATATCTTTCTATATCTTTCTATATCTTTCTATATCTTTCTATATCTTTCTATATCTTTCTATATCTTTCTATATCTTTCTATATCTTTCTATATCTTTCTATATCTTTCTATATCTTTCTATATCTTTCTATATTTTTCTATATTTTTCTATATTTTTCTATATTTTTCTATATTTTTCTATATTTTTCTATATTTTTCTATATTTTTCTATATTTTTCTATATTTTTCTATATTTTTCTATATTTTTCTATATTTTTCTATATTTTTCTATATTTTTCTATATTTTTCTATATTTTTCTATATTTTTCTATATTTTTCTATATTTTTCTATATTTTTCTATATTTTTCTATATTTTTCTATATTTTTCTATATTTTTCTATATTTTTCTATATTTTCTATATTTTTCTATATTTTTCTATATTTTTCTATATTTTTCTATATTTTTCTATATTTTTCTATATTTTTCTATATTTTTCTATATTTTTCTATATTTTTCTATATTTTTCTATATTTTTCTATATTTTTCTATATTTTTCTATATTTTTCTATATTTTTCTATATTTTTCTATATTTTTCTATATTTTTCTATATTTTTCTATATTTTTCTATATTTTTCTATATTTTTCTATATTTTTCTATATTTTTCTATATTTTTCTATATTTTTTCTATATTTTTCTATATTTTTCTATATTTTTCTTATTTTTCTATATTTTTCTATATTTTTCTATATTTTTCTATATTTTTCTATATTTTTCTATATTTTTCTATATTTTTCTATATTTTTCTATATA